CCTAAGCTCCTAGAAGCCTCCAAAGTCTCATATCCTTCAAACGGCTACAATCTCATAACATGACCCCTGACAGGCCCACATGATCTATCAAAGTCAAATCTACTGTCATGTAGTCAAATCTAATTGCCCAATCAACCTATGAGTAACTATAATGGTTCTATGCTTGACACCAGCATTAAGAGTCAATATAAAAACCAATACACATGACTAGAGAATGAATCGTAAGGGAGATTCCCTATCTAGATGTCTATCACCACACCAGATGTCTCCTCTTTAGCTCATTTGAACTACTAATCTTGATTCTTCGTCTAAATTAAAAGGATTAAATTTATGAAAGTTGTCACAACTTACTTTTTATCATCAACAAAACTAAATAAAAGCAATAAACATCATATCGCATAAACTATTTTTTACCGTTGATAATTACAGAAGAAGATTATAATATCATGATCTGAATCTTAGTGCCAAAGGTGATAAATTGGACCGTTGGAGGAATCGATCATATTATCATGATTGAATTAGTTTTAAAAGTGATAATAAAGATTGTCGTAAGAATTGGATTAATGTTTGTTGAATCGATCAGATTATAATTTTCAATTCAATAACAACTAAATAAAAGAAAGAAGAGGCTGCTTGAAGCATTCAACGCCTCTGCAATTGCATGCATGGATTGTATCGAACATGTTTGGTTTGGAGGAAAAGGTGTAATCTTTGAAACTTAATGACATGCTTAAATGTTAGAGTTACAAATTAGACCAGTTGATGGTAATGGTATGTCACCAAACTGACCGGGTCACCTGACTTTCGCCAATGACACGTGCAATAATACAACTTCAAAACCCAGACAACTCCCCTTCAACCCATCCGCACCACCCCTTTTAATTTGTCTAGGCCCCTTGCATATCATGTCTGCTTATAGAGATAGACACAATTTTTATATTAAAGGATCAAACTTTAAAATTTTGAAATGATTTAACTTTTAAATTTTTTTGGAGCAAAAATATTTTAATAAAAAATAAAATTTCTAAAATATATGATAATTTAAAAATTTCAAGAAGACGATTCAACAATCCATCCTATTGCTTGCCCTTTACAATTAAGCTATTATCTAGATCCGTTTTTTGATCCATACAGACTATTTTTTTTGGTTCGTGAATGTTCAAAATTAATTTTTTAAATATTAATTGATATTAGAATTCAAAATTCAAATCAAATAATCAATTTAATTGATCAGGACATTCACGATCATGCATGCCAAAAAAAAACATACACGTTAGTTTTGTTAATTTGAAACTTTTGAAGAAAAAAATTATAATAAATAATTACGATCATAATATATTATAACAATGGTTAAATGAGTAATTATAATAAAAGTAAACCGAAATTTGAATAAATATGTTGAGAAGTCTAGTAATATAATAAAAATGTTAGAAAAATAAGGGTGCCTATGATTATTCAAATTAATTTGTGAGGTCAACATTACATAATCAAATAAAGTTTACAAATTCAACAAAAGCACGATAATATATGTATATCTAAAGGTTTCAACTATTTTATCCAAATATATATAATTTTCAACTACTCCCAAATAAAATAAAAATAAAATAAATAAATATGACAGAGCGAACTCAAGTTTAATTCAATTGGTTTACATGGATGCCTTCTTTTGCAAGAAAATATATATGAAACAATGTAGATGATTTAATATTATTGAATGGAGATTTGATGGATTCAATTTTTTTTTCAAAAAATACTAATATTTAAGAAAATTGAATGTTAAATAAATTAGTAATATAATTTTTTAATATAATTAAGAGGTTATTTGTTTAATATAATTAGTAGTTATAATTATTTATTGCAACATTCCATGCTTATCGATAATTTTATCTGTTTTACTTCTTCATCAACTGAAACGCAGTCAAATACTTTTTAGTTTGACATAAAAATTGAACAAAACAAAGTTTAATAGGTCAGCCAATATGTAATGGGACGGCTTAGTCAATTCAATCGTTCAGTCAAAATTTCCAACAGATGACCTGACCAGACCCAGTATCCATGAGTTGCTATATAAATCACCTCCAATGAACCCTAACCTTTCATCTCTAAAAAAATCATCTAAACATCCAATATTTGATTCTTGCTTTGCTCGAAGATCAAATCTCAAAATAATTCTAATTTCTTCTGCTGCTTTCGTCAAATCCATAATCATATGGCTTCTTACAAGCTTATGGATTCATCAATACAATCCCGATCGAAAAAAAGGTTAACGAGACACCATTGCAGCAGAAAGCTCGTCTGCTTCAATGGCTACTTTAGAACAAGTTTATGCTATCTTAGAAGCGGTAGCTGATAGAGTGGAGATGCATCAAAACATCGGAGAACAACGGGTTAACTGGAACACCCTTCTGCTTAACTCCATCAACATGGTGACTCTCACTGCAAGCACCATGGCTGGTGTTGCTGCTGCTGCCACTGGCGGCGGCGGCTCTGGGGTGGGTTTAAAGTTGGCATCCACTGTTCTGTTTCTATCAGCCACTGGGATGTGGTGTTGAGAACACGATGCAACCTTCACAGCTTGTTGAAGAGCAACGCAATGCCACGAGATTGTTTAAGCAGCTGGAAAACCAAATAAAAACCCTAGTTGCTGTTGGATCACCCACCCAAGAAGATGTGAACGACGCCATGGAGAAAGTGTTGGCACTTGACAAAGCTTACCCTCTCCCTTTGCTCGGTGTAATGCTTGAAAAATTCCCAGAAACTTTACAGCCTGCTGTTTGGTGGCCGAGAAACAAAGCAGAGAAGCGTTTCAATGGAGAGGTGAAAAGCAACAGCAACGGGTGGACGAAGGAATTGGAAATGGAAATGAGGGAAGTGGGTTGAGGTGATAAAGAAAAAAGACAGTGAAGATTACGAGAGATTAGGCAACAAGCATTGAAGATAAACAAGGTTTTAGCCAAAACAGGACCATTACTTACTGGATTTGCATCTGCTTTAATGGTTTGTTCCAACAATCCTTGGGCTGCAACAATGGCGGCCGTCGCAGGAGCTTTAGCTTCAACTGTTAACACGTTCGAGCACGGTGCACAAGTGGGTAGTGTTCGAGATGTATAGGAACAACGCGGGATTCTTTAAGCTTGTACAAGAATCGATTGAATCAACGTTGGATGAATCTGATCTGGAGAGAAGAGAAAATGGGGAGTTGTTTGAAATGAAGGTGGCATTGCAACTGGGAAGTTATCAGAACTGAGGGATGGATAAAAAATCCAGATATTCTCGTGTAGAAGGTGGCACCATTGATTAATTCTTTGATTCATTCAATTAAACATGGTATAGATTTGTAAAATTTTTGTAAGAGGAAGATGTTTACACATATAGGTTGAATCATGAATTTACATGTGGAAATTTCATGGTTGATGCATAAAAATAGATGTACCCTAACCATATTCTTTGCAAATTGGAATAAGAAAGTAATTGTTGTTGTTATATTTGTCCGTTCTTGATTTATAATTTTATTTTGAACGTGTGAGCTTATTTTTATAATATTATTTATTTATATTAAGTAATAAAATAATCTATTTAATAATTATAAAATATGGAAATATAATTAAATCAAAACAATATGTGATTACAAATAAGAAATTTATGAATCATAATTCAATATTCTATCAACTTTATTATCTTGATAAAATCATTAAAAATAAGTATCATCAAATTTCTGATTGATTAGCACTTAATATGCCCTACATAAGTTTAAAACTAATAAATATTGGATATCGTTACAATCATAATATTTTACATAAAAATATATTTATTCATTTTGTATATACTTTGATAAAAAAAATTTGTATATAATTTATTCATCTTGTGCTATATTTATAATATTTTATTCATTTTGTATATAACTTTGATCAAAGTGGCAGAAAGTCAAAACATGTTTTATATGAAAATTAGGTCTTTAGACAGAATTAGGACCGACTATGATTTATTTAAATGAAATTGGGTGATCAACTTCATCAAAAATTAGATAAAATCATTCAGCTTATATGGAACAATAAATAAATTAATATATAAGCCTATCTTCTTCTTCTTCTGCTTCTTTTTTAAATAGGTAATAGCCTATCTTCTTCAATAAGTAATTCATACATCGAACATTACGTAATCAAATAAATTTTACAAATTCAAAGACCAAATACACAAATAATTAAGATAACCCAAGTTAATTTAATGATTTCATAAAGTTTACCAATTAATGCCTTCTTTTGCAAGAAAATATAAATAAAAAAAGAGACCCTCCGAATAGTCAAAATGTTGATACATTAGGGTAATAATCAAAGCCCCTTTCCTCATATATGTTGTGATATTTTCTATACCACTTTCAACACTTTTACCATAGTATTTGCTTTACTTAGGATTATTTAATTATTAATTTACAATATTTTTTTAGTTCGAGCACATAAAAGTATTGAAGATGTTGAGATTCGAACTTTGAACTAATTGGACGTTATCTTTTCAAGAATGCTGAGTTTCGGGTTCATTTCCCTTTTTAGCTATGTACATTTTTATATGTATTTCTCAAAAGCAGCATCCTAAATTTGGTTAGCGATAACTTTTTATTTCATGTTAAAAGTGGATACCTGTGAAGGTAAGATTCTTATTATACTAAATATATTCAAAACTTATTCCTGATTTCGAATAACATAAGTCGATATCGAGACTTTCATGCCGGATATTGTGTAAACATGCTTTAAACTCTCTGATAACGTTTCATGTGTGTAAACATGTTTATAATATTCTCTTGTCTTGTTGTAATAATTCAGTAATGATTTGAACCTCATCTCCGTCAGGTAATGCCAAATTATATAGTTGCGGATGAAAACGCAATGGCTACAACATGACAAACAGATATAACCAGGAGTCAATGATGTAAAAAGGATTTGATGATCTTTTGCAGGGACAAAAGGAATCAGCAACAATGCACTTAGCAGCAGCATGTTTTCAGACACTAAAATCCAAACTCCAGCACTAGGCCGAAACCTCAACGACTTATCAACTTTCGGAACTAACAGTCTTCTCCACTGTTGATTTTTAATCACATAAATACTGCGAACTCATGGTCTCAGTACACCATGCATGGCTACTAGCAGTACAGGCTCTTCGTGTGGGGAAACCATGGGAGACTCCGATCGTCACGGCTCGACCAACCCCAAAGGTCTCATAATTGCATAATCTTTTACAATCTTTGAGCTTCGTTTCTCTTTTAATGTTTGTTTGTTTATATTGTTGCAGAGGGAAGAACTGAGGAGACGATGGTGGAATTCTCTGAGGATGAAGAGATGCTTATTGCCAGAATGTTTAATTTAGTTGGACAAAGGTTTATCCATCATTACACAAGATGTATACATATGTGTCTCTGTAATTTTAATGGTGTATTTGCATGCATCAGGTGGTCTTTGATTGCTGGGAGAATCCCTGGAAGGACAGCAGAGGAGATCGAGAAGTACTGGGGTTCAACACATAGCTCACAGTTACGACCGCGAAACGAAAGATAAACATCTTTAGACCTGAGTATTCTTATCGTGTTCGTATTGTTGTTTTCATGTGTTATAATCGTGTTTGAGGTATTACATCTTTAGACTGAGTACTCTAATCGTATTTGTATTATTATCGAACTGTTGAAGGCTTAATGGGGGAACAGAGAACTTTATAATCTACGTGGTTCCGGTGGCCTAAGTTCTTATAAAGAAGGAAGAAGGGTTAGCAGTCACCGGAGCTAAGTTTTTTACCGATGCGGTTCAGTATAGTAACATTGAAATACCATATACGTGAGTAATGAAAGGACAGAAGATGATAATCAATAATAGAACTCGGAAAATGATAGATACATTCAGAATGTAGATATACATAAACAAGAATTCAACTCGAACGGATCCGAATTCATACTCTCGTATCCTCGAATTACCCGTTTTAGGATCAGGATAGTTAGATGTAAGGTATGACTCATAAATATACCGGTAAAGAGGACAGGGGATGGAGCGGAGTGAGAAAAGCGAACGCCTAGGCACCGAGGACGTAAGCACATTGCCGAACCTCGTTAAAATTCTTGTGTTCTTTCGTTTACTTTTCCGATTCTTCAACATTAGAGACACCGGATACCTTTGGTGGCACTCTGTTAATTAGGTTACTTTAGTCATAAGCAACTCAGCTATAGCGCTCGTGATGGAACATCCAAAAGGCATCTAAAAAGCCTTCCGGTTTGTGCTCCACTTCTCATCATGCAGAACTCGTCGTAGTTGATTCCCCCATCCTGATTAATATAAACGCCATCAGTACAGGTAATGTAATTATAAGAAAATACCGAGTTTGATTCGGAAACAAACTTACGTTAACGGTATCCACCTCGGTGATTATTTGCTTGATGTTGGCTTCATCACCCATTCCATATTCCTTCATAGCAGCCTCTAGTTCGTCCATTGTAATGAACCTGCAAACAACGATATACGTTTAGTTTATATGAATCAAACAAAGGGCAGTCCAGGAATTTGTCCTGAAAAAATACTCAAGCGTCCAGGAGAAGATCCAGAAAGTCGTAAACGAGAGTACGAAACCAAAACAGAGATAGTAGACAGTGAGTTCGATGTATAATGCGGCGTTGCAGACAGTTTAGCATTTGATAGTAAAAAGGATGTAACTACAATAATGATAACATGAAAACTCGGAACTCACCCGCTGTTATCTGTCGAAATGCTGGAATGCTTTGTACAGGTGTTCGTGTCTGTGTCTATGCATTGTAGCTGAGATAAATCCAATATAGTCTATCGTTCCATTTCATCCACATCAGCCTGAAAATGCATTGCACATAAATTTTCAATAATCAGCTTGAGCAAAAGTGTAAACAATTTGGGTAGATACTTACAGCTTCCATTAGTTGCTTGACTTCGGCTTCGTTGAGCTTCGATCCAAGACGAGCCAAACCTTCTTTCAGTTCTTCGTAAGTGATTGTGCCACTATTATCCGTGTCAATGTTTGTGAACATTTCTTAAGACCTTTAATCTCTTCTTCAGATAGATTTTCTGCAATGACCTGGAGAATTTCATATAAACCAACATTACTGGATGAAGAACGAAAGAAAAACTGTCTAGATGGGTGTTTTGCATGCATCAGGAGAAGCTTCTTCGATCCAATTAGATACCGTATCTTCAATGCAAGCTTCTTCAGCTGATTCATTGCCCTGAATTGCTTCAATCTGGTTAGAACAGCGGAATCTATCTGCTTGTCTGATGCTTCACCTTCTTTCAGCCAAGGATGCTCTAACAATATGAACATTACTGTTAATCAAAGGCATCAGAATCAAAAGTTGTATAAAGAAACCATTACAGACCAAGAGCTTGTGCATTAAGCCGTTCTTTGGGGTCCATTGTCAACATTTTTCTCACTAGATCCTTGGCACTCTCGGAAATCGAAGGCCATGGATCGCTTTCGAATTCTAGTACCCTTCAAGAATAGCCTCAAGTATCCCTTTCTCAGTTTCTGCAGTACATGTTGAGAAAAACACAAACATTATATGACAGAAACAGAATAGCAATAACTAGCTAAAACATGTCAATTCGCTAAATTACCAGCCCAAAATGGAGGGACATCACTAAGTAGAATGTACAAAATAATCCTGCACTCCATATGTCGATTTCCTTTCCGTAACTCCGTCGCAGAACTTCAGGAGCTATGTAATAAGCACTACCGACTATGTCGCGATTTGCTTCCCTGCGACCAAGTTCAAACGGGTTAGTACATGAGCAGCAATGGAAAGCTTCATCTGAATCAAATAGGAAAGGGTGGAAATCCAACCTTCTTCGATAAAGACGGATAAACCAAAATCGGTTGCCTTCAACATAGCTCCTTCATCCTTGCTAGACAACAAGAAATTCTCCGGTTTTAGATCACGGTGCATCACTCCCATGAAATGGAAAATCTGAACCACGTTTAGGACTTGCCTACAAATAGCTGCAGCGGCTCTCGGAATAATGGCCTCGGCAATGACCCTATCGAAAAGCTCACCCACCAGCACAAAGCTCATTCAGGATGTTAACAGAGTGTACATCCTCATAAACACCCCTGAATTCGACGATATTAGGCTTACCGGACTAATGCTTCACGATTTCAGCCTCTTTCTTGACATCTTTGTCTTGTTTAGTTTTCAGCTTTCGTTTCGATATCGATTTGCAGGCGACGTGTTGCCTGTTGAATTCTCGGTGCACAGGTAAATTATCCCATATTGGTCTCTACCCAGTTCCTGTTCGAGTGTGTAGTGTTCCTTAATGTCTTTCAATGGCTTCCCTAACACTGTCTCGTGCCTCACTTGAACTGCCTCTGTGCATTCCGATGAAGGGTTCGATTGCGGTGGCCGCTGCTGCTGCTGCTGGTGACGGTGTCTTGCTTGTGGAGCTTGTGTTTGAGACTTCAGAACTTGTTCTTTTTGATTAACTGGTTTTGAATCTTTGATTGACGTGTAGCCATTGAGATCAGCTCCGAAAAATCTATTCTTGCGGCTACAACAGTCCATCCTTGGCTTGGAAAACTGTTTTTTTTAATAAAAAAATTCAAAACTTTACAAAGAAAAAGAGAAAAACCGGATTTTTTTCAGGCAAAACCCAGAATTTTTGACAATGTTAATCCACTGTTTTCACAAAATTCTGCTGTCTTAACAAAGGCCACAATTTCCTGAAATGTTCATCCACTCTGTATCATTTCCTCGTTCTAAGAAAAAAAAATCCTCAACAAAACTAACAAAAAGAGAAAAATTGTTAAAAGTTCTCTCTCCAGTTATGTTTTTCCTTTAGGATGTTTGGAATTTGTCGAGCTGGTCTCTTAAAGAGCATTCGAGGATGAGATTGGAATGCTTTCTTTTGTTAAATTAGGAAAAGAATGAACCCAGCGATTGTTTGGTGTTGTTGATCTTAATTTTTTTTTTGTTGTTAATTTCAGTAAATTAAGCGCACTCCATGGATGTTCAATGGTTTTATTTGCTCCTGAAATTGTCATTAGTGGCAATCAAATTGTTGAATAATCATTCATTCCATTCCTTCTTTACCTAAACTACAAAAGAATGGGTTACGGGTAGATCTGTTTAACAATGAAGTTATTTGAAAATTTTCTGTTTTTTTTTTCCCTCGAGACTTTGTCTAACTTAATCCCTTCCATAATGAAATTATATAATTTTCTAATAGAGCCCATACATTTTTCCTTAATTAATTATATCACATCATTATATTCAAAAATTATAAAATCAAGTAACATAGATGATAAATAGTTCTTTGAGGTCTCAGGTTCGAACATCATAAATGTTAAGGATGTGAGCATTTAATGTCAAATGGTTGAGAGTTATCTTTGAACATATATTATATTATACTTATCCCAGATTAATAAAAAATATATCACAAAAAATGATGGTGTGACATATATCAAGTTAATAATTGAACACACATGAAGATGTCATAAAGTAATATGGATTAACCATTAGTCAATTAATTATTTCCATCAAACATTATATGTTTTGATCAATAATTGAAACACTAGTAAATAAAATGTTAAAAAAAAGTTATAAAGTAACCATTTATACAAACATTATGAATTTTTTTATCACTGTGCCTTAAAAATTAGACCACATATAATTAATATACTGAATTATATATTATTTATACGTACGTGACAATTAAACTTTAAATGATAAAATAGACATCAACTTGAAAAAAATAGAAATCTAATTTAACTTAAAAAATGTAAGACACTTTAAATAAAAATATAGTTTAAATATTTATTTTTAGTTAAAACTTTTATTAATTATCATAAATTCATTTTATAATTGAGGTTAAAGTTGATGTTGAATTATCATCAAGTATTTGTATAAATTGGCACAATATTATTATAATTTAATTAAATTTTAAAAATTACAACAACATTAAATATTTGGTAATTTATTTTTGTTCTTGTAATTTATATTATAAAAATAAATTTAATTTATTTGAAGGACTTTCACAGTCGGGCCCATCAAGGAGTGATTGGGCAAACAGAGGAAATCGTTGGGTTATTATGACCCTTTCTTTTTGAAAAAACCCTAAAAACAAAGGCCACTATTCCTCTCACCTGTGTAACCGCTGCTTAGCTCTCTATTGGCGCTTCCATGGCTGTGAGTGTTTTTCTTTTAATTTTTTTCATGTTTATTGATATATTAGGTTTCTTCTCTATGTGCTGGAAATTTATCGACGATTCACTAATTTTTAACATCGCAAAATGTTTCTCTCTATGATGAAAATTTTAGGAATTTTTCCTAGGGATTTTCTGGATCTACACTTTGTTTACTGTGACTTGGCTTCTGAATTTCACACATTGATATTGTGAATGCGATCAATAGATGATGATTATATTAGTACTGCAGATGATTGATTATATACAATTTTACAATTTGTCTAGGTAAATGCTAAATGTTGTTTATTGTCTATGGCAGTGTGATCTGTTATCAGATTGAGCAAGCTAAGATCAGAAACCCAATTTATGAAGCTTGATTTGTTCTCTGTCACCTGCAATTGTTTAATTTATTCTCCTAATTCTAAACAAAAACCATAATTTCGTAAGCACGTA